GCCGGGATCGGCCTCCCAGAGGCTGCCGACTCTGTGACTCATAGTCATGGGAGTAGATCCTGTGTCCACAGGGCGACCAAGGGGTGGGGGGTGGGGAGAGTCTGACCGCAGAGCTTTGATCTACGATGTCCAACGGGTTGCCAGCCTCTCGCCCGGCCGCACTCCTGCCACATCCACGTCGGCTCTGAACACGAGTAGAATTTCCTGAAACACCTCAGGGGAGAGAAGGGAGATTAAATGCCCCTCTCCCTGGGTTGTGGTTTGATTTCCTTAGGACACAACACCAAGGTTGGGAGGTGGGCGGGAGAGAATCCGCTCCGAGAAAAGTCAACGCGGAGCCTAAAGCCAAGAAAGTAAGGGGTTAATTAAGCAAGCGACGGCATTACAATTACATGAACTCTTAGGCTGATCTGATACTGAACAGTATTTGTTATGGATGTTCGCTAAGCAAATGGTAATGCACGTATGTGCCTTTGTAATTAGCTTATTTTATTTTTTTTAAAAAATATATTTTATTGATTCCTCACAGAGAGGAAGGTAGAGGGATAGTTAGAAACATCAATGAGAGAGAAACATCGATCAGCTGCCTCCTGCACACCCCCCACTGGGGATGTGCTCACAACCAAGGTACATGCCCTTGACTGGAATCGAACCTGGGACCCTTCAGTCCGCAGGCGGACGCTCCATCCACTGAGCCAAACTGGTCAGGGCGTAATTAGTTTATTTTAAAAACAATTTTTTTTGAGAAACAGCCATTTGTTCCACTTATTTATGCATTCATGGGTTGCTTCTTGTGTGTGCCCTGACTTGGGATTGAGCTGACAACCTTGGCTTGTAAGTCAATGCCCTAACCAACTGAGCTACCTAGCCACGACTCTATGTCATGGGTTTATACACATTACTGAGCTAACTACGTTTTGTTGATTATCTAATAAGTCCCAAAGGAAACTAAAGGTTTGGGCCTCCTCTTTGCAGTCACTGGGGGACCCTGAGGTGAATGAGATGGCATTAGGAACAAGTGCCTTTCAAACTGTGAGAGAACCTAATGCAAATTTTGCACTCTGCCCGAGGTCTCATTTCTTTCAAGGTGGTGCATCTACCTGTTGTCTGTGGTGTGAATGCCACTTTTCCCAGAGACCCTGACCAAGTCCATTAAAAAGGAAGGACCCCAAATTAAGATTAAAGATGAGAGCTAAAGCAGTGGGAGAAGAGGAGGAAACTGCCTGCCGTGTGCTAGGCACTGATTTTTTTTTAAAATAACCATTATTCAGTACTTTTTAAAAAATATATTTTATTGATTTGTTTTTACAGAGAGGAAGGGAGAGGGATAGAGAGCTAGAAACATCGATGAGAGAGAAACATCGATCAGCTGCCTCCCGCACCCCTCCTACCGGGGATGTGCCCGCAACCAAGGTACATGCCCTTGACTGGAATCCAACCTGGAACCTTTCAGTCCGCAGGCTGAGGCTCTATCCACCGAGCCAAACCAGTCAGGGCTAGGCACTGCTTTTTATATAATTTCCGTTTGCTCTTCTGCAAAATAGAATTACATATTTAATAATTGTCAGAAAAAGAAGTGAAGCGCTGAGTCAGGTTTCAATCTTTTGTCCGCTGCATTCCACAACCCTAGCTCCCTTTTCCACTGTGTCACGTCTAGGAGAGAAACAAAACCTTAGCTCCTAAGCGTAGTCTCCCGTCAAGGAAAACTGGAACCCGGGGAGCCCCCTGGTGGCCTATTTTTCTCCCTGCGGAGCCCGTCCGTTCCCAGGCTCCTTTAATACCTGGAATACGCCCCCTTCCCGGCGCGTGAATCTCGAGTCCCGATTGGCTGGGCGGGGGCCAGTGGCGGGGCGTGGGGCGCGGCAGAGCGGCGCTCATTGGTCGGAGGAGGCCAGGGGACACTTCCGGGAATGCCCGCACTCCCGCGTTCCAGTGAGCTGCATCCGGCGGCCGCGGGGGCCGGTGGCTCCCCCTGCGGGCGGCTCAGCAGCATACACCGCCGTCCGCCTGGGTGGGTGGTGGGTGAGGGTGGGGGAGGGGAGGGACCGAGTCCCGAGCGGTGCGGGTGAGGGTTCGGGAAGGTTTAGAAACTAAGATTCTATTCCCTGGCTCTGCACCGGCTTCCCCCACCTCCTCTCCGTCGGTTCCCACACCTCGGGGCTTGAGACTGAAAGAGCATCCCGGGAAGGGGCATTCCAGCCCCCAAGCCGCCTATTCAGAGATCCCCCCCGAAATCTGATCTTGAAGTTGGAGGCCCCCGGGAAAGTTCATTTCTAACCTTTCAGAAGAGTGAGAGGGTTTGAGGCTGCCTGACCCCAGGCGAGTGTGGTAGGTGGACCTTGGGCAGTGGAGCATGGGGGCGAAGGCTCCGGGCGATGAGCCTTCATCCCCTTTTCCTCCTTCCAGTGGGGTTCCGAGGCTCAGGCAGCATGACGACGGAGACCTTCGTGAAGGATATCAAGCCCGGGCTTAAGAATCTGAACCTCATCTTCATTGTGCTGGAGACAGGTGGCTATGCTGGGGCCGGGGACCCCCTGTGGGGGTTCTCAGGGTTGGGGGGCAGAAAGGGAAGAACATCACCTCCGTTCTTAATTTGCTCCCGGGGTGGCAGGGTGCACCCCAAAACATGGCTCCCGCCCAGTCGCTCTCCTAGACCCCAGCCCAGGGAGTTGCCCTGAAATGTAGGGTACATGCAACTCTTGCCAGATCCAAGCCTCCAGTGTCTCAGGGGCCTCTTTCCGCTCAGCACCCTCCCCAGCCTGCCCCAGAGATTTAGCTTTGCCCTCTTTGTACTTTTCCCTCACCCCACCAATATGTCAATATATCTAGATCTCATCCTTCTGACCACTCCCCACTCTGTTTATCTGTTCCCTCCAGGCCGAGTGACCAAGACAAAGGACGGTCACGAAGTTCGGACCTGCAAAGTGGCAGACAAAACGGGCAGCATCAATATCTCCGTCTGGGACGACGTGGGCAACCTGATCCAGCCTGGGGACATTATCCGGCTCACCAAAGGGTAAGCCGGCTGGTGACTACTGGCTATCCCAGGGCAGTAACAGTCAAGGGGAGGAGGGTTTAACCGTCCCTGTAACTCTTCTGAGTACTCTGAATCCTGCATTTTGTGCCCCCACAGGTACGCTTCAGTGTTCAAAGGTTGTCTGACATTGTACACTGGTCGTGGGGGTGATCTCCAGAAGATTGGAGAGTAAGTGCTCTTGGGTTTGGGGATGTAGAAGCAGCAGGCCAAGAGGGGAAATTTAAGGTTTGCAAGAAGGCAGCATGAGGGTGTGCAGTCCATGTCCTATACTGGAGGCCTCTAGCACTGGCCCAGAGGATGGGTGTGAAGCTCTGGCCACTTTCTCTCCTTGCAGATTCTGTATGGTTTATTCTGAGGTTCCTAACTTCAGTGAGCCAAACCCAGAGTACAGTGCCCAGCAGGCACCCAACAAGACGGTGAGTCCCATGGCCATGATGTGGAGGCGGGCAGGGCAGGCCAAGAAGCATGGTAGGAAGAAAGGTCTGAGTTTAATTTGTACCTTCAGGTGCAGAACGACAGCAGCCCTGCAGCTCCCCAGCCTACCGCTGGACCCCCTGCTGTTTCTCCAGGTAAACCTGTTTCCTTCCATACACTGGTCCACCTAGTTCCCCTACTCTCCCCAGCCCGGAGAGGTGACCAGCCTTATCCCTTTCCCAAATCTCTCTTCTCTGTATACCCCCCCCCCCCTTGCACCCAATTCTTCTCCCAGTTCTTTTGCAAATCCCTGTGGTGAAAAGATCTGGTTGGGGACCTGTTTCTATGACTGGTAGAGCTCTTGGCACCCTGTTGCCACTACCACTCAAAGGCAAACATAAGAACAGTTTGTCCACAAAGACTGTACTCCTTCATTCTGGCTTGTCTTTCTCTGCTGCTTGTCTGGCAGAACCTGCCCTTTTCTCTTGCTCATTTTGATTTGTTACCCAGTTCTAATACACAGCACTTCTTGTATGACTCACCATAGAGCACACTCCGCACAGCTTTTGAGACCAATGGCCCCGCTGCCCTTCTCGGCCTTGGGATGATGATTCTTCCATCTCATGTACTTCAAGCCCCTGCTTTTTGGTCTCTTGAGGAATTGGGACCTTACTGCTCATCATCAGCGTTTAATTAGAATCATTCCCAAACACACCTCCTTCATCTGGTGGTGGTTTCTCCTCAGGAACCTGGTTTTTACTGCTCTTTTCTCCTTCTGGATCATCTCTCAGCTGACCCTCCTGCTCCCTGAGTGTTTGGCTCTATCTTGCCTCCGATCCATGCCTTAGGTTTCTCCCTGTGACACTAGGCTTCAGGCTGCCTCAGCCCTTCCCCAGTTTGTGTCTGCATCCCCAGTTACCATGGTTTTTCAGAATTGTTTGTGTCAGAACCACCAGGGGTCGTGTGTTTTTTTAGAAACACTATGAAATAGCAACATTTAATTCCACCACAAAAATGAACATCCGGGGGTGGGGGGGATTAACATCCATGTTTTAACTGAAAATATGACTATTACATATTTTCAGGTCTCCATTTTAATTATGGTACATTTAAGCCCGTTTACCCTGGTATTCTTTGCCAGATGTTTATCCACTTTGTCCTCTGCCAGTAGATACAAAAGGCTTAACAAAAAACACGTCTGGCATTAAAACTTACCTTTGACTTTCTATACACTCTCCAAATTTTTTCTGTGAATTGAGGAAAGGGCATTATTTTTTCAGTTCTGGCTGCAGATATCTTAGTCTGGTAGAGTAGGTTTCAACAGGAATGTGGTCTGAGAAGCACTAGCCTATAACTTCTACCCCATTAGCGTTCATAGTGCCCTAGTACGTGAGAGGCAGACATCTGCCTTCATTTAACAAACTTTTATAGATGAGGGATGCCAAGGAATAAATAAAACAGCACCTGCCTTTAGGAGCTTGTAGTCTATGAAGGAGATGGTTGCCTGGCCAGAGTGGCTCAGTGGTTGAGCGTCAACCTATGAACCAGGAGGTCACGGTTCAATTCCCAGTCAGGGCACATGCCTGGGTTGTGAGCTCGATCCCCAGTAGGGGGCATGGAGGAGGCAGCCAATCAATGATTCTCTCTCACCACTGATGTTTCTATCTCTCTCTTCCTCTTGCTTCTTCTCTGAAATCAATAAAAATATATTTTGAAAAAAAAGGAGATAGTCACACAGACGATGATTATAATACACCATGAGTGCAAGGATAGTGATATGCACAGCTGTGGGAGCACCAGGGAGTCATCTCACACACCTGCTATAATCACACATTTAAAATGTGCTCTCTCTCTCTCTCTCACACACACACACACACACACACACACGTTATTTATTAGTGGGGAGGGGTGGGGTGAGAGAATGTGTAATAATTTTTTTCCTTATTCTCATCTGTATTTTCCAAAATGAACATGTGTCATTGTGATACACACCAGGCCTTTTTATTTATTTATTTATTATTATTATTTTTTATTTAATATATTTTTTATTGATTTCAGAGAGGAAGGGAGAGGGAGAGAGAGATAGAAACATCAATGATGAGAGAGAATCATTGATTGGCTGCCTCCTGCACTCCCCCCACTGGGGATCCAGCCCACAACCCGGGCATGTGCCCTTGACCAGAATCGAACCCGGGACCCTTCAGTCCGCAGGCCCATGCGCTATCCACTGAGCCAAACCCGATAGGGCACACCAGGACTTTTTAACACACACACACACACACACACACACAAATGAAAGTTTATTTATAAAGTTACAGCGATAGAAGTGAGCTGTAGAAGAAAAGAGCTAAAGAAGCAAGTTACAGAGGCAAAGAAGGGCCTTGGAGTTTAGTAAAGGACACTCGATAAGAAGATTCAAAGAAAATTCGATCGGGTGGCTCTGTGGGGAGAGAGTGTGGGTTTATTGTGTTGTGTTTTTTTTTTCCTTAACGATCCTTCTTTTTTTTTTTTTTTAAATATATTTTATTGATTTTTTACAGAGAGGAAGGGAGAGGGATAGAGAGTTAGAAACATCAATGAGAGAGAAACATCGATCAGCTGCCTCCTGCACACCCCGTACTGGAGATGTGCCCCGCAACCAAGGTACATGCCCTTGACCGGAATCGAACCTGGGACCCTTCAGTCCGAAGGCCAACGCTCTATCCACTGAGCCAAACCGGTCAGGGCAAACGATCCTTCTTATAACACAGAAACTTCAGGCCCTTCCCCTTCCCATGCTTTTCCAGTTTCACAGTCACTTTTGGTACAGGGGCATTTTGTCAGAGGTCCTTGAGCCTAGAACTAAATAGCTAATTCTAGGTCTGATTCCCAATGATACAAGATGACTCAAAGAGAAAAATATCATACTAGAGTTCATGTAGCAACTTCTAAACTGACAGAGTCTTTCCTGGGGCTCCATTCACACAACCCACATTCTTTGCACTTGGTCCAGTTGACATTAATGTGCAGCTGTGCTGATGAAATACTGTGCGGTTCTCTGGGGTATGGGAGGAGGCCCTGGGGACGCACCCCTCTCCCACCTTAGTTCTCTAATTTCTGTGTTTCTTCCCCTTCTCCCACAACTAGCCTCTGAGAGCCAGAACGGGAATGGACTGAGTGCCCCCCCAGGTCCTGGTGGTGGCCCGCACCCCCCTCACGCTCCTTCCCACCCCCCCAGCACCCGAATCACCCGAAGCCAACCCAACCACACACCTGCCGGCCCTCCTGGCCCCTCCAACAACCCTGTCAGTAACGGCAAAGAAACCCGGAGAAGCAGCAAGAGATAGCAAGACATTCTTCCTCCCTCCCCACCACTGACCATATCCCAAGTGTCAGCTAGAGAACACAGCCTCTCCTGGGCTGCTGGCTTGGGGGTGGGAAGGGATAGGTAGCAATATTTTAGCCACTAAACTTCACTAAAGGGGTGGTGAGAAGAGGCCTTATCCACCCTACACCCTTACTCACCCCTGTACCCAGTGGAAGCTGCCTGTGCCCTGGGATGAGGGTCTCTGCCTGCCCTTCCTCTTCAGCAGTGAGTTATGGTCTGTCTCTTGTACGTGTGTGATGTGGAAATCTCATTGAACCCCTTCTTCCCAATAAATGTTACTACTCTGTACTCGACTCCTTTGCTTTTTGTGGGGAAACGACAAGGTGAGCAGCTGGGCATTTGGGAAATGGCCTCGGAGGCGGAGAGGAGACTGGTTCCCGGCAAGGAGGCCCAGGCAAAGCAGGCCTGCCCCTTTAAGGTAGTGCCCCTCCCCTGCCCCCTCCCTGCAGGTGACCCTTGCCCGCCTGCCTGTCTACCCCCCTCACAGCTGGAACCTAGAAGGCTGTGTCCCCCTTCCTCTGGGCGTCCTTTCTGCCTCCTGCTATCAGGTAATACCAGCCTCGACCCCTTGGACCACTCACCCCAGTCAGGCTGCTGCCCCGATTCTGGGCCAGGTCAGACTTCGGAGGGGAGCCGAGATACTCCTTCCCTCCTCCGACAGAGCTTCCCCTCGCTTGGTCATTGATTCCCAGAGCTCCGGCTCTGACTCTCTGGGGTGGGGAATTGCCAAAAACAATGCCTTTCCTGTGCACGTGGGTTGCCACTTAATCTGCTTCTTCACCTTCCTCTCCCGTTGGGGAACAGCTGGGTCCAACTTTCCCCGGGAACGTGGGGATGGGGTGGCGATGAATGAAGCCCAGTGCCAGATGTAAGGGGTGGGGGGTGAGAGTGTATGCAGGGAAAGGCTAAAATAGCACCAACTGGGTTAGGGGGTAGAGTACTTAGAAGAAAAGACCAGGCCTAGATTCTCCTTAGCCATGTGGCTTTTCCAGGGGCAGAGGGTGGCCCCTCCCTACTGGGGGCCCTAGCAGAGACTGACCTTTGACCCCATCCAAGAGACCAGTGAACCATTAACTCCTCTACCATGTGAGCCTTCCCACACTTGCCCCACCCCTGGCCCCGCCCCGAGGCAGGTGGGCTAAGGGGGGGGCTTGTCCATCCCAGCCTTCCATCTGACGTGGCCTCCATTCCACCTGGGAGCCTGGAGGCTGAGCCCCGCTGGCTCCCCTCCCCGACTCAGGAGCCTCTTAGTGTCCGCAAGGCCTGACAGGCCGAAGGTGACGACGTTCTTCTGCCAGTGGAGGTGAGGTTCTGGGCATTGGCGGGGGAGACAGAGTGGGGGGAGGGTTTAGGGGACGGAATAGGCCATCAGCTCTGGGTCAGGTGAGGGGAGCACTTTGAGTCAAAGAAGGTGTTCTAGGAACTGGCAAAGGAGAGGAGAGACTGCAACAGCTGGAGGCCATGGGAGGGAGAAGGGAGGCTAGAGGGGGGGCTGCTGCTGAATTTAATGTGGGGGCTGAACGAGCAGTGAGGGGTCCCCTCTGGCCCTGAGCTGAGCAGCAGGGCAGGAGCACTGACCCTTCCTCCTTGCTCTTCCAGGGCACCGTCCTCAGGATGTTCCGGGGGGAATAGAAGCGAGAACCAGAGCCTCTTACCAGTTCCTCCCCACAATGGGGCTCCCGACCAGTCCCCTGCTGGCTGGGCTGTGTGTGTGTGCGGCCTTGAGCTGGGGAGGGGGTTCAGCCCCCAACCTGGGCCCTGCTGAGCTGGAGCAGAACCATTACCTGGCCCAGCTGTTTGACCTGTACGGGGAGAATGGCACGCTGACTGCAGGGGGCCTGGCCAGGCTTCTCCACAGCCTGGGGCTAGGCCAAGTTCAGGGGCTGCGCCTGGGACAGCATGGGCCTCCAGCTAGTCGGCCTGCACCCCCAGCAAGAGACAACGCCACACACAGGTACTAACCCTTCCCCCCGGCCCCAGATCCCACATCCCAGCTCTTTTTAGTGCTCAGATCCCTCTCCAGTTGTCTACTTCTGGTTCCTAAAGTAAGGTTTCTGAGATTACAGATTGTTCAAAAACTGACTCCTTGTATCCCCTTCAAGGCTTCTTTTGCCTCTATTGCCTTCTCAGGCTCTCCTTTTCCAAATCCCTGTGCCCTTCGATTCCTTGCTTTTAGTCCGAAAGCTCAATGTCTCCAGGCTGACCTGACTCCCAATTTGTAGCATTTTGGGCTGTTCCCTGACTCCTATTTCCTCTCACACCCATGCCCCATATTCCTATAAGCTGACAATTCTCAGATCCTCCCAGGACTGACATTTTATGGTTTCTGGGTCCCAGGAACTCCAGCCAGTGCCTGGTCTTCCCTCTTCCTCTGGTAGCCTCTCAAGTGGGACTTCTCAGAGAACATGGGCATCTGACTTGTTTTTTTCTTTAAATCCTCACCCGAGGATATTTTTTTCATTGGTTTTTAGAGAGAGTGGAAGGGAGGGAAAGAGAAACATCGATGTGAGAGACACATCGATGGGTTGCCTCTCACACGTGCCCCGACCGGGCCGGGGATCAAAGCCTGCAACCCAGATACATACCCTTGACCAGGAATCGAACCCGAGCAAGCCCCTTCCGTCCCAGGCTGACCCCTAACCACTGAGCCAAACCGGCCAGGGCTGGCCATCTGACTTTCTATCCCATCCATCTAGGCCTCAGGACCCCAAATTGAATGTGGATGTCTGGTCAGAGCTGCCTCTGGATCCCTCAGGGTGGGGTGACCTTGAGGAGCCAAAGGCCCCCCACCCACCCCATGGGCCAGCCCCCTCGGGCCTGGACCTGTTTCACAGGCTTCTGTTGCTGGACCATTCGCTGGCTGACCATCGGAATGAGGATGTGAGTCTGATGATCTCTGGAGAAGGGGAAGGAGCCATGGGATTTAGATGGCATGAAATATTTAAAGAGTCAGTAACTTAAAAAAATTTTTTATTTAGTGATTTTAGAAACATCGATTTGTTGTTCCACTTTTTTTTTTTCATCATCATTTATCCCCTCAATGCCCTCTTCCACCTCCACTCACCCCACCTCCACCCTGTTTCACCTATTTAATGCACTCATTGGTTGATTCTTGTATGTACTCTGACTGGGGATCGAACCTACAACCTTGGCGTATCGGGATGACACTCTAAACAACTAGCTACCCAGCCAGGGATAACGAGTCAGTAATTTAATACAGTTCCTTTTTAAAAATCCAGATGTGGTCTTTTTTGTTGTTGTTAATCCTCACTCAAGGATATTTTCCATTGATTTTTAGAGAGAGTGGGAGGGAGAAGGGTGGGAGAGAGAAACATTCATCGATGTGAGAGACACATCAATTGGTTGCTTCCCACATGCCCCCCATCTGGGCTGGGAATCAAACCCAAGACCCTTTGGTTTCAGGGCTGTCTCTCTAACAACTGAGCTACACTGGCCAGGGCAACCCAGATGTGGGCTTAGGGTATGTGATCCCGGCTTAGGTGTCACACTTGAGAAACCAGAGAAGCAGCCCAGGGTAGGCTGTGGGGCTGGCTATCTGGAGAGGAGACCTGCAGAGAGCTGACAGCTGTCTTCACCCAGAAAAGACAGAGAACTTGTTCCACCTACACCAGAGGGCAGCCAGAGCTAACCTGAAGCAGGCCTGGCGAGGGTGAGCACCCATAGCAGGAAGCACTCAAGCCAAGGCTGGGTAAACATGTGACAGGGCTGCTGAGAGGAAGGTTTGATGGCTTTACAGGTTTTTTTTCCTTCTAAGAATCTGGACTGGAGAATTCTAGTTGTCCAACTGACTCCATGATTAAATCAGTGAAATCATCAGGTGCTTGGGAGGGAGGAAAATGGTGGCACTGTTCACTAGCAGCCAATCTGCATTGAATTGAATATTTGCATCGGATTGACTATTTGAATATTCACTAATTAACACATACTGAGTACCTGTCCCTGTCCCCCAGTCCCTCCCTGATGCACGGGGTGGGGTGGGGGTGAGAGGGGGCCTGGGAGAGACCCAGGAGTCCAGGTGGTGGAAGGGCAGATCGGAGTCACAGTTGAATGTGTGACTCCCAACTCAACTCCCCTAGTGTCTGAATGGCTCCCAGCTGCTGGTCAACTTTGGCCTGAGCCCCGCTGCTCCTCTGACCCCTCGGCAGTTCGCTCTGCTATGCCCAGCCCTGCTTTATCAGATCGACAGCCGTGTCTGCATCCAGGCCCCAGTTCCAACCCCACCAGGGGATCTACTATCTGGTCAGTGAGTGAGAGTGGGTGGTAGGGGGCACCCTCAATCCTGGTAGGGAGTGGGTTCCATGCCAAGGAAGGGGTTCATTGGGGTACTGCCTCCCCTTGCAGTGTATCTTTGCCTCTTAGCCTCCCCTCCCCCGATTCTCCAGCCCTGGTTCACAGCGCCCTGGCAGTCCTGCTGCTCAGCCTCCCCACACCCCTCTCACTGCTGCTGCTTCGCCTCCTGGGATCTCGTCTATTGCGGCCCCTGCTGGGCTTCCTGGGGGCCCTGGCCGTGGGCACCCTTTGTGGGGATGCGCTGCTGCACCTGCTGCCACATGTACGTGGATCCCCTTCCTTATTCCCCTGCCCCCACTGGTGGACGGCCCCTCATATCCAAGTGTTCCCAGTCATGGGACATCCCTCCCCGTCAGCCCACAGCTGCCTTCTGGTAGAACGGGAGTGAAGGCTGCCACCTCACACCCAGGAGGGGGACGGTGTCGGGTGCAGGGGTTTCTGGGGTCTGCCCTGACCTCCTCTCTGTCAGGCACAAGGAGGGCATCACTCCGGACCTAGTGGGCGACCAGAGGAAGACCTGGGTCCAGGGCTGTCGGTACTTGGCGGTCTCTTTCTGCTCTTCTTGCTGGAGAACATGCTGGGGATTTTGCGGCGCCGAGGGCTCAGGCCAGTGAGTGAGACTCTCTTTTCCTCCTTCTACTGAGATCAGAGTCCCAGCCAAGAACTGGCCACATGAACCAGAAGGCGAGGGGCTGGGTGTGCTCCTGGCTTTGCCGTTTGCCTGACGGCAGGCCCTGACTGCTAAGGGAATGGGCAGGGCTCCCTCAGCGTAGACTCAGGACTCTGTCTGGCCCAATAGCTTCCTCTCCTGAGTTCAAGGCAACAGCAGGGAGATGCCAAACTGGGAAGAGAGTAGAGGCCAAAATACATCCCCAAGTGCCAAAAACAGAACCAGGTGTTCATTTTCCCAGCCGGTAGCCTGGCCTCTCCTTAGCCCCCAGCTCTGCTGCCTCCTCCACCAGGAGGGATACCCTCCTATTTTAGAGATGCTGCAGGCGAAAAAGGGAGGATCTCAGAACACCAGACCTGGACCCAGAGGACAGCAGTGGGATGGCACTTCAGCCCCTACCGGCAGCTCCAGGTAACAGGAGGAGAAAATGAAGACTAGGCTCCCACTCTCATTTTCAGCCACTAACACTGTCCTTGTCCTCCTTTCTGCAGAGCTAGGGGCTCAGGGCTGCAGGGAGCTGGACAGCCACCCCCCGCCAGCCCCAGCCCCTCCCGGGCACCAAGGCCACAGTCATGGGCTCCAGGGTAGCAGTGACACCAGTATAACATGGATGGTCCTCCTGGGAGATGGTCTGCACAACCTCACGGATGGGCTGGCCATCGGTATGACCGGAGGGGACAGAGGCAAGATGAGAGGACCGCAGAGGGAATGTAGGCCCTGCCCCTGGGGAGTGCTTTCTTCCAGACTGCCCACCTCGTTCTGCAACCCCAGGTGCTGCCTTCTCTGACGGCTTCTCCAGCGGCCTCAGCACCACGCTAGCAGTATTCTGCCATGAGTTGCCTCACGAACTGGGTAGGAATGGCAGAGTGGGGTTGGGGTGGAACGTGGAAGTTGGCAGGTGACATTGGTGAGGGGCAGCCCTGGCTTATTCCCTCCTACCCTGTCCTCTCTTCCTAATAGGTGACTTTGCAATGCTGCTCCGGGCAGGGCTGCCCTTTCGGCGGTTGCTGCTGCTGAGCCTAGTGTCTGGAGCTCTGGGACTAGGGGGTGCTGCCCTGGGGGTGGGGCTCAGTTTGGGCCCCGTCCCCCTCACTCCCTTGGTGTTTGGGGTGACGGCTGGGGTCTTCCTCTATGTCGCCCTGGTGGACATGGTGAGGTGTGGGGTAGTGCAGAGGAACAGGGGCGGGGGGGGGGGGCACACGGAACAGGGTGCAGACCACAGGCCTGCAGAGTCTGAGAGACCAGGGCCTGGAAGAGCTGGGGTGGGGGCTGCTACTTTCTGACACCCTCTCATGTTTCGGGGACAGGTAAGGCAGGACCCTGATGTTTTCCTTTTCTTCCAGCTGCCATCCCTGCTGCGTCCTCCCGAGCCTCTCCCTCCCCTGGAAGTGCTCCTGCAGGGGCTGGGGCTGCTGCTGGGGGGCAGCCTCATGCTCACCATAGCCCTGCTGGAGGAGCAGCTGCGGCCCCTGGTCTCTGATGGCTGACGGGCCAGTGGAAAGGCATCCAGCTGCCCTTCCTTCCCCCCAACCACAGGAATGGAGGCGGGACACAGGGCCAGTAGGAGCAATAGGATTTTAATAAACAGAACCCATCCTAAAGCCATGACTACGACAGTTGTACTTGCACCAAAACAGCATAGAAAACCAGGATGTGGTGGGAGAGGGCTCAAAGCAGGTTGGGGAGGACATGAGTTGGGCTGGAGGATGCAGGGTGCATCAATCTGTGGGGACAGCATTGTGCTTTAGCCCAGGGAGGAGGGGAAGGGATGGGGCAATGCACTGAGGTCCCCCCTTTTTCCTGCTGCCCTCAGCACCCTGGGGATACAGGCATCTGGGCAGATCTGCCCTTTATTGCTGACCACCAGCATTAAACACCCCCGACCCCAACGCTAGCACCACAGGTGGATCCAAGGCAGGGAGGAGGGCAGGAAGGGGAACATTGCTTAGAGAAAGATTCCACTAGAATCCAGTGAATTGTGCTCAGTTCTCTTTACTTCCTACAACCGAGTACATGGGTCACAGGGTGGAGGGCACAACAGGACATGGAACATGCCCCTCCGTGCTCCCAACACACCCCTGCACACAGGATGGTGGTGTCTGCAGCATCACAGGTCATGCAGGGCACAAGGAAGGGGAGGATCACACACACATAGACGTCCGCAGCGAGTACCAGACAGAGAACACCCCTGGATATACACAGCTGTACACAGGGAACCCCAGGTCCCCACCCAACCCTCTCCCCTGTCTTGCCGTCCCCCCGGCAGGAGGAACTGTATTGCTTTGAGAGAGCCACCCTGGGGGCCACTCTGCCAGGCACCCTCCCCTCCCACCCCACCCCATTTTGGCACATCTGCAAGACACACAGCAGCGAGAGTAGGCACCCTCCCTCCCAGGCTTCTGTGGCTTGGAGTTGAGGAAGGGGATAGGAGACTTCATCCTCCACCTTTCCCCTAGCCCTTCCCAACCCCTACCAAGCCCACTCCAGCCAGAACCCACCCCCACCCCCAAACGCACACATACAAAGCTGAGCTACCCAGGAATACAGGGAACAAGGAGATTGTCCGGGATGGGAGCAGAGGCAGTGGGCGAGAAAGGACTGGAAGCAGAGACCCCACCTGGTGTGGGGGTAAGACTGGCACAACAGCTACTTTAGTGCAATTGGAGAGGGTGCCCACGGTGAGGGATGGACATGGGGGGAAGGCTCTCCCCAGCTTCCCTGGGCGCAAAGCCAGGCTCCCCAGGGAAGGGGCCTAGCAGGAGTGAGCACGGGCCAAGGGTGGATCCTCTCGTCACCCGCCGCCCTCTGCCCTCCCGGACGCAGTGACAGTGTCCCCCTCACACCTAAGTGGGCAACAGCAGCCTCAGAGTCAGTACCTTCAAGTAATTCATAGAGCAGACCCTCCCCACCCCAGCTTCCTCCCATCTCTGGGATTTGGTCGCTTCTCTAGGGGTTGGGTTGGGAGGAGGGAGTCCTCAAGACAGACCCTTCCTTCTCCGCCTCCCTCTTCCCAGACCACTGGGCTTGGTCCTCAAAGACTCCTCCCCTCCGCCCTTGCCCAGCACGGGTCAAGGTGCGGCGGACGGAGCCACCATGATCAGGGGAAGGGCTGCTTTGCTCCTTCTCCCTCCTTCTCACAAGGTAGGGTTCAAACTAGGCAGGATGGGGCCCCACAGGGGTTTGCCCCGGAGGGGGTTTCTGGGCGAGGGTCTGTAAGGCTATTTTCCTTTGCGGTGGGAAGGGGAGGAGGGGATGAACACTGGGTATGGGGACAGGGTGAGGAATGGTGGAGAGGGAAGGAGGAAGGGGCCTCCCTGCTGGAGCACAGTCACTGGAGTCCTTCAAACGAAAAAACACGCATGTGCACAAGATCCACAGTGGGCCTGCTCCCAGCCCCTCCAGCCTGGCTCCACCCCACCTCTCAGGGCCCCTTCTAAGACCCCAGAGAAGGTTTTGGGGGTACAGCTGTAGAACCGTTCACTCTGGCCCTACACTCCGGTGCCCCCAGCCTCTTCTCCCCTTCTAGGTCCAGGGAGGAAGAAGGTGCTCAGGTGGGCAGACAGCGGTGGAAACAGTATTGAGTTTTCCTTTGGTTACATATTGAAGGCAAAGGTGAGCTGGACTTACAGTCAAAACGGATAGGGATGAGGAAGGAGAGGGGCCATGGCTGGGGCTGGAGAGGGGGTAGGCCCTCCTCAGCCCCTCCACCCCAAGGAACACGTCTAAGTGGGGTGGCCGTCCCTCAGTCTCATCTCTCCCACCCCCCACAGCACCAAACAAAAGGAGAAGCCCCCTCCCCCAGGGGCTGCTCCCCACCCCAACCTGGGCTGTACATTCAGTGGTTTCAGCAGTCCTATGGCTCAGGGGCCAGGGGGTGGGGGAGGTGGCCCGTCAGTCTCAGCTGGACAGTGGCAGTGACCTGGGTCTGTTGGTCCATCCTGGGACCCACAGTTTGTGCCATTTGTTTTTCTGAAGGATAGTACACAACCCTACCAAAGCCACCGCCCAATCAGAAACATATCCCCACAAAATCAGAAACTAAAAACTGGCTCTTTTCATCTCGCCCTCTGATTTACACATCTGTTTCCCTGTCTCCTATGTAGCCCTAGCTCTGTCTCCTTTGCTGGGACCTGGGGCTGCTCCCAGGATCCTCACTTAAAATAGGCCTTTTCTCAAAAGTGCTTATTACTTGAAGCAAGTGCTTTAGCTGCGGTGGGGAGGGGAGGGAGAGGGCAGGTGAAAGGAAGGAGAGGTTTCTTCCCCACCTACCCCCTCAAGACTGGGGGGCATTCTGCCTGTTTTTCACTTCTCCACACCCGTTTAAGTCAAAGAGGTTTAAAAAAAATCTTAACATTAAAATAAATATGCAGTGGCCATGAGAATGGTCAAAATGCTTCAAAAAACAAGGGACCGGAGAACCTGGGGCGGGGTTTCCTTTGGCATAGGAGAGGCTGCTTGTCCTCCAGGCCTCACAGCCGCGTGAGGGCGAGGACGCCCCACATGCCCAGCACGGCTGACGGTGTGCTGACGGGGCAGCCGGGAGCAGCCACCAGAAATCTCATCCAGCAAAACCATGGGGCTCCTGACAAATACTCCGACTCTTCCTGTCATCACCGAGCGCTGATAAAGGAGAACACGACCGACACCCCGAGAGTCTGCTCTGGGGGACCCGCTCCCTTCTCCCCCGCCCCCCACCACCTAATTCCCAGCACCAAAATGAGAGGGAGGGGATGGAATGGGAAGATTTCAGGAGAGAGAATTAAAGTTAGGGGCAAGCTCTGCAGATCCAGCAGGGTGGGGGGCTGCAGCCCTTAAGAGAGGTCACATTGATTGTCGTATAGGGGAGGACGGGGTGTAAAAGGAGGTGGGCAAGAGGGGCGTCGCAAGGCCCTTTGGCTTTGAAAACAAAAATAAAAACTAAAAGCTGCACAATCCTTCTCACCAATAATGGTCATTTGGAAGCTTTGAAATGGTTTAGGAACTGAGGGGTGGGGGAAGCAAAATAGAGGATAAAAAGGGACAAGGAACGAAAAGAATAAGGACTTGGACAAACACCCCAGGCATCAGGGAACCAGCATGAGGTATGGTTAAGGGTGTCTGTGAGGGAGGGAGGGGCCCTGGGATGCTCCCTCTCCCCTCAGCCCACCCTGGCAAGGGTAGCAAGATTTGCAGGGGCTACAACTGGAAATCAGGTAAGATGGTGGATAAAGCAAGCATGAGAGCGGGGCAGGAGAATGAGGGACCCCCTGGCAGGGGCAGACCCTCTACTGTGTAAACGAAGCCCATCCAGTTCTCAGGGGACAATACTGATGGCAGCCAAACTGGGCAAGGATGCACTGTGGGCACGGAGGGGGCATGACCTCTATTCAAGTTCTGTGTCTTGGCCCCTGGCTGAGGTATTGAGTGTGAGGAAGGGAACACTGGGCTGTGGGAAGGGGTCCAACTGTCCAGGAGGCTTAGCTAGGAGATGGATGGACAGGGCTTTTGGAGGGACCAGGGCCAAATTCAATGCTACATTTAGAGAAGAAACTGCCCCCTCCTCATCCAGCCCAGTTTGGCTTTTAGGGTGCAGCTTTGAGGAATCTTCTCAGTGCAGCCCCTAGCTCAAACCCCTCTCTCCCTGCTGCTGGGAGGCAAAGCCCTCGCCTCGGTATCTGCTGTTGCTCCTTAGATCAGAGCTTCATCCTCACTGGGAGGGGAAGCCCGGTCCCGAGTAGCCACGGTCCCTAGTCTGCCCTGCCCCTCCCACCATCTTTGGCTTCAGATCAGGGGTGACTGGGGGCCGTGGGTGCTCTTGGACATAATGGAAGGTGGTAGCAGACAGGGAGCAGAGGACTATAGGATGGGGGCACAGGAGGAAGAGCACAGTCCCTCCCTCCACACACATGCAAACACATGCCTGAAACACATAGGACATACTAGGGCTGTGGTTTTGAAATGGGCAGGAAATTAATTTGTTTCTTTCCCTAAAGGATAAAATGCTTACTTAAAAATTCATGACAAGCCTCAAAGTTAAGAGAGAGGAGAGCCAGGGAGGGAATGGCCAGAGGCTCTGGCCTCCCAAAAGAAGTTAAAAGAAGAAGCGGGTTAAAGTGCGTGGTTGGGGCCAGGCCAGCAGGGAAGGGGAGCGGGAGGAGTAGGCTGTGGGGGCAGAACCAGCCCTTGATTTGCATATGAGGCGGCCAGGGGAGAGTGCAGGATTGGGGCCCAGGTACAGTAGTTGCTGCTTCAAGTGTTTTGCATTTGAACTTTAGGGGGATGGGATACAGAAATGGGGGAAAAGCTCCAGGCCCCAGTGCTAAATACCCTCCCCCCTTGTCCACTAGCTGCCCCTGAAGGGGGAGGGGTGCCCCCAGAGTGCTCACACAGTACCAGAGATTAAGGCTTCTCACTGCTGCGGGGATGGAGGAGCCGGCCGAGCAGGGAGGCAGTGATGGGAATGGAAGAGGAAGGGATCTGCCTGGCAGGAGGGGCGGGGGACACAGAGAGGAGAGTCAGGGGGAAGAGTTGGGGTCGCTGGCAGCAGAAAGAGGGAACTGAGAGGTGGGGTAACAAGAGGGGGAGCCAGGCATTTAGCAATCATTTTGGGACACTTGGCAGAAGGGGCTGCCCTGGGGGTACCAAGGGCCTGGGGTGCTCCCTGTCAGTCCCAGACCCCTGCCAGGCCAGGATGGTATGGCAAAGGGGTGAGCAGCTGCTCCCCAGTGCTTTTCTCCCCCCTCCAACCCCCAACCCAGTCGTGTTCTCCTTTAAAGTGCCCTAAATGTATAGACTTTTTCTAAATAAATAGAATAAGATATCAAGCCACCGGCAGGGAGAGGGACACTGGAAAGGGGCTACTCAGAGTAGCAGCCGTCTAGCCCAATGGCGCCGTGCCGCTCCTGGCTGTAGGGGCAGGAGGCCCCGTGGGGCAGGGCCCCGCAGCCACCCACCGTCTTGACTGCTGCAATGCTGCAGTTCTTGAGCAGGCTGAAGCTGAAAGGACTGACGGCGTCCTTGGGTGGGAAAGGCTTCATGGTGGAAAGGATCAAGGCCAGGCAGTCTGCCACATCTTTGTTGGGGGCACAGGCCAGTGCTGGGGTGTGACCTGCAGGCAAGGGTAAGAACTAAGGCACAGAGTCCTGTATCTCTGGGCCCCCATTCCTCCTCTCCTAGGCCCTGAGCGCTCTTATCTGTGGAGCGAACCGAGGCAGTCAAGCACTCAGTATGGCCAGAGGTCAAGGGCCATGAGGGTCAAAGGAAGCTGACAGGTAGGCTGTGGAAGTGTGGAGCTAAAGGTGGAGCATGGGGGACAGGAGGCTGAAGGATGGGGGGCGGTCTTCCTGAGGACCCTGCTGGCTCTACCTGATTCCAACAGATTTCCCTCAGAGACTAGCACACTGGTGCTTGGGACAAAAAGCCAGTTTATAGCAAATTTAAGAGGTCACCTCCTGAAGAGTGTCCCTGACCCCAAACCCAGGAAAGGTGGGGGCTCCACTCACCTTCTTCATCCACAGCCAGCACTGTGGCCCCACGACTCAGCAGGGCCTGCACCACAGAAGCTAGACCATTCCGGGCAGCGATGTGGAGTGGCCTTGGGAAAGGAAAGAGGAGCATGAAGGCAGTGGGGTGCGAGCTGCCCTGCCACCCCGGCCAGACCAGCAGGGCGCTGAGCAAACACTGTGAGTGCCAGAGAGCC